TTAATTATTTTACTGTAATGTATATTGTATGTATATTGTTGACAAATCATCACTTTCAATTGAAGTCCGCTCAAAATCGTTTTTTCGTAAGTAATGTTTTATCGTTGCTTACGGACATACATTAAATTACCTGTAATAGCGGGTTGCACTCGTCCCTATTATCCTAGGACGTCTTTTTTTATTTATACTGATTTCGTTATTCTTGTATTATTATATAATCGCTTCTAGATAAAAATAATTCAGTCGGGACTTTAAAATACTATAAAAATCGACTAAATTTGTTTAAATTGATTTTTGTTCATGGGTTTTTATTTCGATGAGTGAATGTTCAAAATGTTTCAACATTCAACATACAGTTCAATATAAGATACAAATTACAGCTCAATTGTTTCAACTAGATATTTAAAACATTTTTCGTTCCATATTAATAGTTTAATGAATTTTATACATGTTTAATCTAAATAAATGTATAAAACATTTATACATAGAAATAAAAAATAAATAAATGAACGAATACGTCGCCTGGAGTATTATGATGAGTATATTATACGATTGGTTTTGAATTAAAAATTCATCATCAGGTAAATCATAGTTTTAAGTTTTGGTGATACACCTGATGACGCATTCGTTCATTTATTTATTTTTTATTTCTATGTATACATTTTTCGTTTATATATCTATTACTATATTTATGTTCGAGTATTAACCATTTTAATAATTTTGTTCTTACTTTATTATTTTATTAAATAAATTTAATTAACTTAATTAATTAATTTGATCGAATACAAAAGATTGTATTGAAGCGTGGCGAGAGATCTATTTGGTATACTATATAATTTGTGTGTTATTTTTTATTTTTCTGTCTGTGAACAACATTTCTGTCAGAAATCGAAAATCGCTCATCGTTACATTCGTAACCGCCGCGAAGACGGATCGAGTCGTTCGGTTAGGTCAGGCGACGTGGCGGTTTCCGTGTCTTGTTTTTGCTCCCGTACCGACTCCTGCCAGCTTCTTCGATTTCCGATGTGCTTAAGGGCGCCATTGGCTGACCGACACATAGTAATATATTTATATTTTTCGTTTACATTGCTTTGGCCATCGTCCCCATCACCTTGTATGTGGCACCTAGTCGTTTTAGTAGGTAGTAACACAACCGATATTGTGTAATAATAATGTACCGATAATATGTTTTCTTTTGCGATTTTGTATTTTTGTTCAATTTTCTTTTTCATTTACGATTAAAAACCCGTGGCATGTGGTTTTCATTTCGTTTACAATATTATAGGAACCGTTGCCTGTGGTTCGTTTTATCTGCGATTTTAAGAACAAGGATAAGGATTTTTCTTAAAATGTAAAGAACGACCGTTTCCCCAAAAGCACGTTACTGCTCATCGAGGCCACGATTAGAACAATAATGGAACGAAGCCCAGTCACGCAATTAGTCCATGATCCTTGAGAGGGGGGGGGGTTGTTTGAGTCTCATCATAATATTAAATAAACGTGATGCGCGGGCTCTGCCTCTGCACTGGGGAAGACTTCGGACCGTGTACAAGATGCTAATTTGTTTTATCTTTTTCTCTCGCGACACAATCCCGACAGGCGGTAGTGTTCGGCATACAGTGGTTCAAACGTGTACGGCTTCAGGGATGATAATATTATAAAATTAATTTTATACAGATATAATAGTATAATATGCATATATGTGTGTATTTTGTAAGCGTGTATAATATACTGTCTAGTGCGATATTTGTAATATGAATTGTTTAATTAGTATAATTTGAATCAATAGGAATTTAGGAATTCCCTCGTCTTTTGCAGGTACAGAGTTTTTATGCCGCGAGGAGTCTCTCTGTGAACTTAAATTTCTTTGTTTTGTAAGTTGTATATTAAAATCATAACCTACCCAAAGTGGTTTATTATTCAACGAAACGAGGACATTTAAATTGACGCAGTAAAAAGCCTCGCGGCATAAAAACTCTATACAATAGAGTATGGGATGCCTATACAATCGAATCATACAAATTAAACATTCATTTATATTATGACAAATACCATATGAGAAAAGTGCATCATACATACACTCACAAATATACAAATGTTATAACTATTTAAATCGTACAAATCAGAAGAGTAGGGTACTGCGATAAATTGCGTATTTATTTTTAAATAATAAATTGATAACTCTCCCCTACTCCTCCGATCTAAACTTTAAACGGTTATATGTTTTTGACATATAAATAGTAAATCTGATATGATATGCATATCGACATTTTTGGAAAAAATATTCTATTCGGATCTGTGTTCAAACAGGGAGAGAGGGTTTCTATTTGAAAAATAAAAGTATACCTATACTTATTTAAGGTCTATGGAGTAAGGGTAAAAAATTTAAAATGACTTTAATATAACGTTTAAACGATTTCACAACGATTTAAAATCTACTTAAAATCTTTCGAGATAATTGCTGGTTCATGATAAAAAAAATCACACTTTATAATATGGTCTTGTTTTCGATTATTTTTCTATAATATTTATATCTAGAAACATCGTTTCCCCCCCAGGAAACGGCTTATCGTATCTTATCTAGTTAAGATTTGTGACTAAATATAAACATAAAATTGTACAATGTTATTATAGTTTAAAAAGAAAATGTATTAATTTTAAAATATTGAAACATTTTAAAATTGTATATTTCATGAAATTATTAAACACTACATTAAGGGGCGTTCAGATTACACTCTCCCATAATGAGTGTTCCCACTTAAATTGATCACCTGGTATTTAACGAATCGGTTGTCGTTATCGGTGATTTTTATTATTTTCAGTTGCATTTATAATATCATTTATTTACGATTGGATTTATAACGATAAAATTATATAACTCTGATGTATACATTTATGACGTTGACGCATGAAAAACGTAAAAAATTAAAATTTTTCCCACACAATATTGTTGTCTTTTTGCCCATATTACAATTCCATAGTATTTATATATGTACGTATTGGTATTAGCGTATTTCAATAACATTATATATAAATCCGTTTCTTATTACTATCGTTAAAATTAATTTTTGTTTTATCATCGGCGACGGCCGCTCGGCCATTTCACGTTGTTGTTATCGGTACCTATAATACTAATGAAGTATTTATTAATCAATGCCTATAGGTAATATGGAAAAAAAAAAAAAAATGATCCCGGACGTCGATAACAAAAGTATACGTTATACTGCATTGCTTTTATATTGTACGGGTACCGTGCGGATAACCTAAATACATATTACATATATGTACACACCTTACCGAGTGTTTCACACGTTCGTGGGTCGACCGATAAGGCGTTCTGAGTAAAGGTCGGCGTGAACAATCAATTCGTTAGATTTTTATTGAAATACCGGTAGCGTGTTACATCGGCTTATCGGTTTTCATATTCTATAAACCGTGAAAGCACTAGTGATAAATTGTTTGCATTTTTGTCCCTTTTACCTAAACAAGGAAAAAACAAATGCATTTTGGGTGTACGTAGAGACCCAAGCCATCGCTCACTCGGACTATTTTAATCGCAAAATACCCTTCGATTCGTTGCGCAAACTTTTCGACCAGCAATTTTTTTCCAATTTCAAATGATAGCACTTTTTCTGAAAAGAAATCTAACTGGAAAGGTACTTTAGGGAGGTAAGTTTTCGATTTTACCAAGAGTTTTCCCAGCAAATGTGAAAAATCGGAAAAAGATATGGGAAAACCAGGAAAACCAGGAAAATCAATAATATTTTAAACAAATATTATTAAAGAAAATATATGATACCTATTTAATTATTTTACTGTAATATGACATATATATATTGTTGAAAAAGCATCTCTAACAACTGCACTTTGCTCAGAATCGTTTTTTCGTTTTGGTTTATCGTTGCTTTCAGATAAAAATTAATTTCTCCTCTTAAACCCTACATTCCGAACTTCTCACCAATAACAGTAACTGCATCCATCGTACGAAGTACGTGCGTTTTTTTACATGTTGCGACTTTTAGAGCCCGCAGACATTTTTCCAGGGACGGAGGCATGACTCAATATATTATACCTTATGTAATATATAATTCGATGAAAAAAAAAAACAGAAAACCTATAAAACCTATGTATTGAACTTTTAAAGTCTAGTAGTCTACTGGGGGAGATGGGCAAATACCAGGTCTGGAGCAAGACCTCCCACTCAGGGCGCCTATGGTCACCACGTCTCATTTTTTGTTTGGCACTATCCCTTTTATAGGCGGCGTTTGCTAATGAAATCGCACAGTGCCGTGTATACGGACATCATATGACAGTACAATATTCCAGTGTTAAAAAACCGTAATCGTCTATTAGGTAGAATTTATTGCCGGGTAAAAAAAAAAATACGAAAAATTGACGAACATAATATATGTTACTTATATAGGGTATTCGAGATAGAATGCGATTTCGACATACATTTTTAAAGAACCACCTCACTCTATTTATACCATATTATTTATTTTATCATGATGTATTGTTGCTTCATATATCTATTATATGAATACATAATTATTATTATGATGTCATTGTTTTCGGAGGACGACAACAATTTGGAACTATTTAAAAAGACATGTGGAAAAAAAAACGAACAAGACGATAATTTTTCTCGAGAAGACGTCTATTTCTTGTTTCTCGGTACTGTAACACCCGATGAAATCGAAGTTACAAGTTCGTCTTAAACAAAAACACTTTAACATTTATTTTTTTTTTTTGCAACATCAGCCGTCAAAATAAAAAGATAAAAAAAAAAATAAAATAATAATCGTTTTAATTAATAATTCGGTTTAAGAAAAAAACGACCGGAACGACCTTTGTAAAAAAAAAAAAACAGATAAGACTACGTTTTATAATTATTGAGATAATCGAGAAAAAATTATCCCACCAACGGTCATATTAATGATTGTATGATTACTGTATGCCGTGAATCTGGTATAAATACATGAGATTAATGAAATCTAGTTAGTTCGTTCGTATATTTCGTTGTGTTCACTTCTGTTTCCGTGTACCTAAAAGAACCATCCTTTTGGCCGATTCACGTAATAATCCCAACTGTGCGGTACTGGAACAGTACCCCTTTTGGGATTATTCTACGTCTATCGGTATTACGTTTTTATTAAAATTATAATAGATAAATATTATTTGCGTTTCTCCAAGAGTTTTTTGACTCGACAAGAATATTTTTACACACGTCTCAATAGACTACAACCATCGTGTCAATAAGGTATATTATGAATAATCAATAATAATTAATAAATAACTTTTAATTTTACAACCTACAGACGGCTTGTTTTTCACCCTGATATGATCTTTTACTTTTTGTCCAGCTAGATAAACTATATATTTTTCTAGTTTAGTATTAAACTGTTTCCGCCCCCCCCCCCCCAAAATGAAATACAATTTTTTTCAACTGTTGGTTCGTGATAAATATTTTGGAAACCATATATCAATCAGAGATCACCACAAGAAATAAACAAAAAATGTATTGTTATAGTAAAAAAAAAAAGCGGAAATATTTTGCTCGATGTGAGGGCCACTGTTGTAGGTAAGAAGTTGGGAATGTAGGATATAAGGGAGAATTTAATGTAGGTATATTTGTAAGCAATGATTAATCTTTACAAACAAAAAACGATCCCGAGCGGTGTTCAATTAGACATGTTTACATTAAACTCAACTTTTTCTTGTTGACCACTAATTAAAAAACTCCCGGAAAATAAAAAAAATAACCTCCCTAAAGTATTACCCCAGGAAAATTCCCTTTCAGAGAAGACGCTATACTTAATACTTCCTGGAAAAATTTCTTGTAGAATTTTCGTACACAGTATTAAAAAATTAAAAAACAAAAAAAAAAACAAATCTTTGTAAAACCAATACATTCCTCGCTATACTCAGAATCTAAAATTAGAATCAAAATATTAAGTTATCTTATTTTTAAACACAATATTTTCTGGGTAGTAATTGAGGACGAGGAGTTAATTAACTCCTCGTGGTGCTCCCTGGGTAATGCTAAACAACTTTATAAAAATATTTTGAATCAATATTACAATGTACTTAAGAAATAATATTGAATAAATAAGCGAATGTCGAGGCAAATATCAAACACAAATAATGTTGATAAATGGTTTGCAAAATGTTGAACATAAATCCACGGCCATGAAACGAATGACATAAAATTTGTGTGAAACAAAAAAGATTGTTTGGTAGAAAAGTAACTTGCCGAATATCGAAATCAACGTAATTATCGATATCTTTTAAAATATAATTTAACTTTATTAGAAAATTACAATAACCTTACAATACGATATTGAATTGATTCGAAAAAATAATTAGTATTTTTTTAAAATTTGATTGTGTATTTTTAAATCTAAACCCGAAATGTGACAGTTTTAAAATAATAAATAATATTAATGATTAAGTACCTATTATATTAATATTTGTATTTTGTTTTTATTCCTAAATAAAAGTCGATATCAAACACTAAATTTTTGCTATCATCCATCATAATACATAGAATTTATATCTACCGAACATCATATTGGATTTAGGTTGTTAGTTATTTATTTTTAATAATAATAGTAAATAATTAAAATAAACTTGAACTTTAATTAAATTTATGTTCGTATATAATTAACAAATAGGCACTTGCAACTGTTTGTTCCACATAAAATTATGTATTTATATTATTCTGATTTCACTACCATTATAAGTTCTGAAAATCCAGTATTATAAAATAAAATAAAAATCGTTGTTTTTTAAGGTGTTAACGTTTTTAATGTTTGTTTTCATATAACTTCTTAAATCATTGTTTCCTTAAAAAAAAAATCAAATATTTTCAGAATTAGTGATGAATAATAAAACTTAAAAAAAATATTTAAATATTCGAGCGAAAAATAAAAATTAAATTTTAAATATTGGGAAAGCGTTAATATCTTTTCATAAAAACACTTGTACGAACAGAATATTTATTTTTTTTAATAGTAATAACAGTTATTTTTGTCTAACATGACAGCTTATAATTTCTTATTATACAAATAAAGTTCATTATGATTTTATGGTAGATATCTAATAAGAAAACAAAATTTATATTTTATAGTACTAATAAAAACAATCAGAACAATATTATTAGAGAATATCGTAAAAAAAAAAAAATCACACTCGATTAATTATTCTTTGATCATAATTAGAAAGTATTCATATATTCTGTAAAAAAATAAATTAGACGCTTTTTTAATAAACTCTTTATACAAATTTATTTAGTCAATTTTAATAATTTGATGTTACCTACATAAATTATTAAACAAAAATACACCGGTCTGTTTAAATGCAAATTGTGTAAAATAATTAATATCATAGCTAAATTCAAATTGTTAAAATATTATTGTTGAAATGGTAATACATTTTCAAAAAAAAAAAAACAAGTACATAACAAAATATTAATTATTTTAAAAAAGAATTTGTCTATTTAATTAAGTTTATCAATGAAATTAAAGTTTGCATGACCTAATATGAGTTGTATTACATAGAGAACCACAATTTTTTTTATTTCAGGATTTTGACAAACATCTTGAGTGTTGGGTGGTTCACCTAATAGTTATTTTCCAAAAAGATCAGATAACGTAAATAATGGCTAGATATTACATACCATCCTGCAGATTGAGACCAAAATTATACAGGTCCTAATGATATTCAAAATAATACATAAATATATAATATTATTTATTACGTATTTTAATTTAGTTTATAATATTTAAATAGTATAATTATTATAATTTGTATTGTTTATTTTATTTACCAGATTTGATCTCAGAGTAGCTGATAGTATAACATTAACACGAGCAACAAAATTTATATGGAAATAGAATGGGACTTTGCCAATATTCACAGGTCGTGTGTCTGATATACAAGTTTGAACGTCATACGTGATGGATTTAATAGTATTTTATAATTAAATGCACTGACATTGAGTATGCGATTTAGAATAATGGATTTTCAAATCAAAACTGTCAAATACAATTGGGATTCATATACACCCACTCAATAAAATAGAGGAAATATTATAGTTTTAGCTTATGGAGCTATTCTATAAATTAACTGTTTTCACGATTAAAATTAACTATTATAAATTATGTGTTATGCTGCGAAGGGATAAATCAGTGTTGATTGAAGAAATATAGAAACCAATATTTATAATGTATCTAATATTGTACCACTGTGAAATGGTATCTATACATTACCAACTAGTGAAACGGCTATGCTAATGTTGAGATATCTCAATAAGATGAATGTATTATGAATGCCGATTATAGTATTAGTTCCCATAAGCACATTCATTTTAATATACAATTTATCTCCTTTATGGGACTTCCCAAATGATTGATCTACTTTTCAAGATTTCTCATCTATGGTCTAAATCGCACAAGTTATGGGCTTGCTCAACTGGTGCTGAAGTTTGGTTACAGTCTTACAGTATAATCATAAGGGTTTTGCTAAAAACAAAAGACGTTTGAAAAGTAAATTATATAATTATAACTCCAATTTAGGGTGACCATATTTTCAAAAAAAAAAAAAAACAGAGTGAACGATTTAGGTTTATTCTTTAAAAAAAAAAGACCAAAAAACATTTTTTTTTTCATTTTTATTTTATTCTAACAATTAATATTATTTCTTAGTAGCCTAATATTTAAATAAATTATTTATTTATATTCCATTTTATTATGAGTTTGAAAAATAATTTCAAGGATTTTTTTAGAATCATAATTTCTTTGATAATATAGGTAGGTATAAGAAAGACATTTTTTCATATGGCCATAACACATTAGTTGTGATAGAAAATATTATCTGTATTGCATTAGTTCTAGACATCGTCAAAGAATATTCTGCCAACAGTTATTGTTAAATATACCTAATTAAATTTTTTATTGAAATTTTGAAGACAACACACTTTATATTAAACATACAAATACAATTATTTTGCAAATCTTTTAAATTGTAAATAATTGGTCATTTATTATGTCATTGGCAACATCATACATAAATATACTAATCGAAAAGGTTATGATGATCCACATTTTAATAAATTTCTGATTCATTTATTTACATATGTTACTATCTTATAAAAATGGAACGAAAGGCATCCACTAGAAATTCTTTAGAACAACAGCATATGATGATCGAAATTATGATAACCTTATTTCAAATAGAACATATGGTCATCCTACTCTACCAAAATTTAGAATATCTATTATCGATTAAATATTTTAATGTGATAATATGTTTTAGGACAATGTTTTAGCTACCGATGACAACAAATAATATGTTCTACAGAACATGATGGACATATAATTGGACATATGGTGTTGTTATTGAGTTATTAAATTAATGGAATCATGGAACCTCAACAAATTACTTTTTCAACAGTATGTATTAAAATAGTAATCTTATTATTATCCTATCTTGGAATTGTAAAAACAATTTTTTAACAAATTAAAATACTTAGTTTATAAATTATACAAACTTTTTATTTTTTCAATATTAATTTGTGAAATCATATTATAAAGATCTAGTAGTTATATTAAGAAAAAAAATATTGAGAAATTTGAACAGAACAAAAGTTGTTTCAAGTGTCAGATCTTTGTGTTATTGCCTATTATAATTATAAATATTAATACCATTTAACCCGGAAGTTGGGCAGATTAGAGGACTGCAAGAAATTTAAGACTATTGTTTTAAATATTTTTTTTTTTTTAATACTTCATTTTTTCTTATTTTAATGTGATATGTTAATGATCAATAGTTTTCCCTCCAAAGATAACAGCAGTATAAAAAATAACATTTTATTTTTATATGTTTTTTTAGAACAGAACTTCAGACAAATATTCAAGAAACTTTATCAAAAAATGATATAATGTACAAACAGTTTGAAGAAAATTGCTAAAAGTTTTGATTTTATAATTAGTATTTTAAAACAATTGTGAAATATTCCAGTCTCATCCTTATAATAACTGCGACCATTCTTTAATTACTTGTTGTGCAAATTCATAATTAGTGCGATCTAGATCCTAAGTGAAAAATGCCTGTTAAGTAGACCAAGCATTTGGAAAATCCCATGACTGATATAACTTGAAGAAGGAAGTCCATGTTCCTATAGAAACTAAAGCTATAATTAATATTGATAATATTTTCATTTCTTAGACATTTCAATACGGACACAGCCATTTCTTTGGTCTCTGAGTTATGCTTACCAGTCCACAGTGGTACAATATTATTTACATACAAATATTCAGTATGCTCATGATTTCTATAACCATACACATTTATCTTGTCTCAGCATGATTTATATTTTAATTGTGGATTTTAATAATTTAAAATTAATGTTAATAGCATAGATTATAATTCATTATCATAATGCTTCTTCTCTGGTTTTGAACAATTGTGTTTTATCTCCACGGTATTCCATGGCATTGATTTGAGAACCTATCATTTTAAACCATTGTCTCAATGTTAGTGCCATTTGAGCATAAATTACTACTATCGAAATCAAATAGTATAATGTTTTTTGTTAGTATATTGGGCGACTGGCCTGTAAAAATTGGAAAAGTCCCGTTTTGTTTCCTGTTTAGAGTTTTATTCTTGCGTACTATTCCTCTATGATTATCTATAATATATATTATATTACTTTAAACTACATAATTTACATTAGCTTTGTGTTATTTTTATCATATTATAGTTTGTATTGAGCTATGTTTTATTGTATTAATTTATTAGTCAATTTAGATTTAGTATTTCATATTATCATTTACGATGTTATTAGTTTATATTATATAAATATATTTATGTATAACCAGAATCAAATATACAATATAAATTTAACTCTCACATCTTTCATGTATTCATATACCTATATACTCCATATTTAGATAGAGATAAGCCTGTATATTTAGTAATTGCATTCATGTTTCAATTGTATAGAAATTCATTTGAAAACAAATTATTTTTATTTAAGAACATTGTATTGATTTATATTGATACCTATAATTTGTGTTATATTGATCATTATTTTAAGCTACTATGTGGTAATTTACGCTTAATATATTAATAATTGTCCGTTATACAAAGTGTTAACTGTATTTAAATAATTCATTAACTATGGCGTCTGTCAACAATATAATAAATATTTAACTATAATATTATCAAATTTCTAATAATTTTTGTTCGGTCAAATCATTTTATTAAAAAAATACCTATCAAATAAAAATTACAAAAGAAACTCGCAATTTTAAAAGTTCTATAAATATTTCAAAAATGGCTCAATTGTTTGAAAAGTTTTACCACGTCTAGAAAAATTAAATTTGAGTTTTTCGTTAAAATGTCAAGTCTTAGCAAATGTTTTTAACTGAATTATAAATACATTAATTTCTAACATTTTATCCCTTATTTTTCCAAGATACTATGAAAACCGGTAATCCGAAAATCAAAATACGACCACATAAATAAAATTTCCTTTTAGAAAAGGTGCTATACTTGATAAATCAGAACAAGATTTCTGGTACAAAAGTTTGCACAACGAATCGAATGGTATTTTTCGATTAAAATAATCTGATCAAGCGATGGATTGGGTTTCTAAGTGCACCCAAAATGTATTTTTTTTTCCTGTTTAGGTAACAAGGATGAAACAAATACAAATAATTTTTTTCGGAATTTTGGTTTTAACTTGCAATTTCTGGGACAATGACAAGAAAGTACCATGACTGCGACTACGACAGATATACTATGAATTTGTCAATATTGAGTTATTACCTAACACATATCATGTCCGCAAAATATCAGAACTTCAAAAAGCTATAGTTTCAAAACTAAATTAGTCTACACAGTTTTGACTTCACCATATTTTTAAACCAGCAATATACCCTTGTTCAAAATAGAAAAATTTAAAAATTGTCATTGACTAGTAACTAAATTTCTCCACATAATTCTTTACTCAAACGATATTCGTCAAAATTTGATATTAAAAATCCATAAAAAAATTTTTATAATGGTGGTACAAGTACATATCAAATGAACGTTCCGTTCTAAACTGAGACAATTCCATTTTTCGTACAAATTCTTCGATTCAAAGGTTTTCTGACAATGAAAAAAATAATCATATATACATGGGTACATTGTACAAGAACGATAGGTTCAATTCTAAAAATCTGTATAAAATATCGAACGTATTTGTAGCTTTTTTTTTTATGGGTATTACGATATTTACGATTTTTGTCAGGATTCAATATTGAAATTCTTAAATTAAAAAAACAAAAGACGGACCTACTTCGCACGTGGGTAGGCCAATGTTGTAGGTGAACAGTTGGGAAAATAGAGGGAAAATTGAATGCATATCTGTACGCAAATATTAGCCATTAATAACGAAAAACGATTCTGAGCGTATTAATAGTGCTACATTGTCAATTTAAATGTGATATTATGGTATAATAATTACATAATATGCACTGTGTATTTTCTTTAATAATATTTGTTTAATATTGTACCTTTTTTCCCGTTTTTCCCATTTATTATGAAAACTTTAGATTAAATAAAACCAGAACGAGATAAAGATTTTAATCTATAACTACATAGGTACCTACATACAAAATACAAACACGATCTGTAACCGTGCGTAATCCGTAATCAATACACAAAAATTTTAGAAAATAACGAGTCAAAAAAATGTTTATTGATTATATTTATTTGTTTGATTATTATCATTAAATACCAGAAAAAGGAAACTCCATTTTACCTAAAAAAAAAAGTCATGCGAATATGGGACCTATTCCCCATATACCCTGTGATAATTTGAGAAGGTCCATGGTGTAATTATTTGCAACAACTTTAAGATTATAGAATAAAAATCAAGATTTCAAAGAAAAATAGTTTTATATTTGTTATTTCTGGTTAGGTTGAGTTCCCCATAACACATTGTAAAACTAGTTAGCTAATTATTTTTGTTCAACACAATTTCTAAGTCCTCAAAAGTTTCTTTATATATTTGTTTTCCAGGTTTTGGTTATAAACAATTAAAACTTTTTAGTTTGACCCCAGGGACGCCAAAATGATTTATTGATTGTGAGGGTAGTCTAATAAAAACTCTAAGAGTCACCCTAGTAAGAAATAATATCCTCTTTTACTACACACCTTAAATCGATTTAGCGAAGTACCGAAAAATTATAATTTTATTATTGTGATTTGCGATTCTTAAATATTTTATGAAATATAAGTTAAATTTATTATGGTCTCCTTTATTATAATATGTTCATGATCTTCATTAAAACTTTTCATTAAGAATTCAAAAATTAAAAAAAAAAAATTTAATTGAATTAAAAAATCATTTTTAATTGATTGCTATTAACGCTCTCAGTACTGTAATAATTGAAAAAAATCCTCGATTTGTTATTTAAAACAAAGTCGAGTATAGAATAAGGGAAAACAAATTCATTTTTGGTGTGCATAGAAATTCGTCGGGGTAACCTCACTCGGACAGCTTGAAACTTATATATCCCTCAATTTGTTATACAACACACTCTCGAGTAAGTCATAGGGAAAAAAAATGAATTTTCAAGGAAACAGTTATAAAAATTACTATTGTATGGGGTACCAATCACATCAAAAACATCTAAAACAGTGTATAGGGCAATTTTTTCTATTGGAAAAAAGTGAAAAATAAAATACTTTTAAGACACGGATTTGATCTAGAGATATCCCTGGACGGACAAAAGGTATGCATCACTAATAGATTATGATAATCAAGTTATAGAAAATGCAATATTCAGAGATTTATCATGACACGTATGTATATTGATTTCAAAGAGTTATAACTCGAAAATTAAGTTTGACCGCCCAATTTAGATGGCACCATCATTCTCAACATAAATAAATACATTCGTTTGGTAAAAAAAATACTGACCTCCCCTCCCGTTTTCCCTTTATACGTTCAAAACTACTGTTAAATGACTGGCGGTGAAACGGTCTGGAGTGAATTAATTCAGCGACGAATCAGTCGCGGAATGTCAACTCGAACACTGCAACGGCCCGTATCGGCAACTCTAGCGTGGATCAAGGCCCTCGAGAGGGCCACGATGTCATCATGTGGCGTCCCTTCGAGGACCAGGAAAGCTTCCACAGATAAAGAACACAGATAATAATGAGAATGGTGAACCAGTGCGATAGCAGCTGTTAATAGTCCACATCATTCTCTTAACTGGTCACCTATATAGTAAGCTAAATTGTCAATCTTTGTTCAAGACACTTTTTAACAGTATTTTTCTTTTATTAAAAAGAAAAAAAATTATTGCTTAAAAATTGCTGGTGGTAAAGTTGTCCACAGATAAAAAATAGAAAATAAACATCATTGTAAAAACAACTCCGAATCTAACATATATAATATACATTTACTATATAAAACACATAATTTTCAAAAATAAATTGAGATTTTAAAATGTTTGTCTCGTGATTTGTCATGGTGCTAAAACTATTACAATGTTATAACATACAAAAAAACAAATAACTATACTTTAGTAATTGTTTAACAAACAATTTAAGGAAAATAAAAATATGAAATAGTGTGGTAAGATTTAGTTAAACTGTGTTTACAAAATAGTGAACGCTACAAGACATTTTCAAAACCTGCCGCCTCTAAAAAGATTAACGCCGGAACGAATTTTTGATTGTGGAGGTAGTCTAAAAAAATATTCCAAAATATATGGTTCTCTAAGAATTATCCTAGTAAGAAAGAATTTACTGTTTTGCTACCAACCTTAAATTTGTTTAGCTAGATACCGAAAGTTATTCTGTAAATCCTGTAATTGCGATTCGTAACTCCTACATATTTTATAAAAAAAGTTACATTATAGTCTACATTATGATTTTATGTTCATGATCTGATTCGATCTAGGGATACTTCTGGATAGACAATAGGTATGCATCACCACTTGATTATGACAACCGGTGTATAGAAAATGAAATATTGAGTGATTTAACATTACACGAATGTATACTGATTTCAAAGAGTTATAATTCGAAAATTAAGTTCGACCACCCAATTTAGATTGTGCCAACATTCTCAACATAAATAAGTACATTCGTTTGGTATAAAAAATATTGACGGCCCCTCTCGTTTACCCTTCCTACGTTCAAAATTACTGTTAAATGACTGGTAATGAAACGGTCGAAAAAAAAAGGAATCCTTTTTAATAATTATTATTGTATGAGATACCAAGAGAAGGAGGAGAATAAAGCAAAACGGCCTACCTCAAGAAAGTGTGCTGGCTCCCACACTCTTCAATATAAACACTAATGATCAACCAATATTTACAATACTGTGCCCCGTGTTTCAATGTGCCCCCCTCTCCCCTACACATGTTTTAAAAACAATAAAAAATAATGTCTTGACTCTTATGAGTTTAGAGAATTACAATAACGAACACCTATGTGAGAAACTTTTTTACCGTATTGCCGTATACTGTATAGGTACCGGAAATCAGATTTCGGGTATTGAGTATAGACTATAATTTAATTATACACACACTAACATAATTATGGTAGTATATGTAAGTCATATATATATTCGTTTATTTCTTGAGTTATGAAAAACGGTTCTGTTTCTTTAGTGTTCTAATCTCATCTTATTATTTGTGATTTGTGTGTTGAAATGCTGGCAATGGTTGGTTTTTTTTGATTGGTACTCTGTCAATAAGTTGTTTGCTTTAACAAAAATGTTTGAAAACTTAAAAGGAGGTTTAATACATAAAGTCGTACTATGTGGCAAAAAAAAAGTTTAAAAAATTGATGTAGTAATTTTTTATTTTTTTATAAGAATTTCCATATAAAGTTTTGAAAACCGTAATTATAACAGCAGTTAAAAACATGTATAACGGAACTTACTTCAGAATTGAATCATTCTATAACATAGCAATGGTTTACCATTGGTTACAGATATAAATAAAATAACATTATGTCTTCAACCTTTCCGACTTTCAACCTACAACACGCTCACTAGCTATATCAGATCTTTTTTTTCAGGTTTTTTTGGTATGTATCATATGGATACAATTATTTGATTAAACCGATATGCTTGGAAATTCGACAGAAGTAAAATTTAATTTGTATAATATTGTTGATACTAACATTAACAGGTTGGCTTCCAGAAGACCCTTATGTGATCCACACGATGTTTGCCAAAATGTTTTTGAGATAATTAATGATTTTTTAATTTTGTTTTTGTCATGATTTTATCAGTGTTAACATATTTATTTAAATATGCAATATTTATTATGTGACACATAAATTAGAAACGAAAAAAAACTGCAAATCAAGTGTGACCCATATATGTGTCGCATGGAAATTATAGCAAGTATGTATAAATAGCTATTGCAGTCAATCTATTAAAGAAGTATTTAAATATAGTTAACACATTGTATTAAATATGATTAAAGATGTATTAAGCATAATTCAACACATATTAATTTATAATGTATACATATAATTTGTTATATATTACTATTATACAACGTTCTTAAATAATACAACTTTGTTTTCAAATAAATTCTTATATATACAATTGAAACATAACTGCAATTACTACTAAATAAATAGATGAATGAATATACTATATAATAACATCGTAAATGATAATATTAAATATTCAATCTAACTTAACTTATAAACAAATAAATCTTAGACATTTAAATGTAAATTAAATAATTTGAAATAGTGACTATTATATTATATAACCATAGAGGAATTGAATGCAAGAACACAATTTGGAGTGGAAACAGGACGGGGCTTCTTCAATATTTACAGTTCAACTGTCCAATATACTAACAAAAAACATTATACCTATTGATTTCAATAGTGTTTTATGCCCAAATGACACGGACATTGAGTAAATGATTTAAAATAATAGATTCACAAACTAATGCCATCAAATTCCTTCGAGATAGTACACAACTATTCAAACCCATAGAAGCAGTAACATGGTTAAAAATTACCAAGCTAAGCTATAAATATTAATTTTATATTTAGAATCAACTATTAAAATGTACATGTCATGCTAAGGCAATATAAAGGAATATGGATTAAGAAATCCATGAGCATAGAAAATATTTGTATATACATATATAACATTGTATCAATGTGAACTAGTAAGCATACCTTACTGACTAAAGCAATGACCACATCCATATTAAAATATCTACGAAACAAGAATGTTATCAATGATGATTATAGCTTTAGTATCTATAAGAATGTGGACTTCCTTCTTCAAGTTACGTTAATCATGGGATTATCTAAATCCTTAGTCTCCTTATCAGGCATTTCTCATTCAGGGTCTAGATCGCACTAATTATGAATTTGCTCAACATGTATCTAAAGAATGGTGAAGTTATTAAAATTATCTGGATTTCTCCCCAAAAAAAGAGAAAAGGATGTTTGATAGGAAGAGACTAAAATATTTCACAATTTTTTTAAAATAACAATAATTAAATCAAAATTTTATCAAATCACAGAGACTGTTTAAACATAAAATTGATTCTGATAGAATATCTTGAATATTTGTCTGAAGTTCTGTTCTAAAAAAACATATAAAAATAAAGAATTAAATAACACATTCAAAATAAAGGCAAATTAAATATTAAGAAAATTATAAAATATTTAGAATAATAATCATTAAATTAAATAACATTACATTTTCTGTACTGTTATTAATTGCAACCATTATTATAGTAAAACCAATATAAAACCCAGTTTAATTGGAATTAAAAATTATAATTTCAAAATAGAAGAATCATAGCAAGGTTCTAGAAATTCTGTATACTCTTTTCACTTTGTATACTGAAACAAGGGCCAATGCTTTTGTAAAGTTGATTAAAAGATAATAATTGCAATACTTACTGTTAAAGATGTGATTGTCAAATGATCTATAACTCCGTCAATTGAATAACTCAAAAAAAAACAACATTTGTCCGACCAAATCATTAAATTTTCTCTATTGTCGTTAATTGCAACCGTTGTCCTAAAACACATCACATTAGAACATTTAATCAATGAAATAAATGTGTTTTAGAAGTTTCATAATTTTATTTACTTTTTCAAAAATTCTTTGTTTTTCAGCAAAACTCTTGTAATTAGAATGTACACAAACTTCAGCAACAGTTGAGCAAGCCCATAACTTGTGCGATTTAGACCATAGATGAGAAAGCCTGATAAGTAGTCCAAGCATTTAGAATGTCCTTTGACTTAAATAAATTGAATATTAAAGTGAATATGTCTATAGGTATTAACACTATAATCAGCATCCATAAAACATTTTTATCATATGAATCTCAACATTAACACAGCCACTTCATTGGTCTGTAATGTATGGATACAACTCCACAGTGGTACAATATTAAATACATTTTTATAATTGTTTTCTATGCTTATGGTTTTTTTTATTGAATACTGATTTCTCTTTTCTCAGTATAACATATAATTTATAATAATTAATTTTAATTGTTAAAACTTTTAATTTATAGAATAGCTCCATAAGTTAAAACTATAATATTTCTTCTATGTTATTGAGTAGATGTGTNAGTTATAAAAAAAACTATTAAATTCATCACGTATGATGTTCAAACTTGTATATCAGACACATGACCTGTGAATATTGTCAAAGTCCCTTTCTGTTTCCATATAAATTCTGTTGCTTATGTTAATATTATACTATCAGCTATTCTAGCATCCATTCTGGTAAACAAAATAAACAATAAAAGTTATAATAGTTATATCATTTCAATATTATAGACTAAATTTTAATTCATAAAAAAAGCATAAATTTATACTATTTTAAATATAATAAAGACCTGTAGGATTTCTGTCTCAATTCATAGTATTCGATATAGCATACAGCCATCCTGCATGTATTCTGATTTTTCTGGAAAGTAATTCTTTAGTGAACCGTCAAAAACTTAAATTTTTTGTTCAAACCCTGAAATGAAAATATTTTAATTGATAAATGGTAACAAAAACATTGGAACCGCAGTCTAAATCAATATTTTGGGCGGACAGGTTCAATCATACTTAAACAAAAATCGATCGAAAAACATGCCACCAGTAGGTAGTTATTAATTAATTAAACAACTAAAGAGCTACAAAAGTGAAAGTTGTAATGTTTGTAAATGTTATTCATAAGATACTATTAATTATTCATAATATAGTTACCTTTTGTTGATGCGACGATTGTAGTCTGTTGAGACGCTTGAAAGAATAGTCTTGTCGAGTCAAAAAAATCTTGGAGAAACGCAAGTAATATTTATCTATTGTATTTTTTATAAAAACGTAATACCGATAGACGTATAATAATCCCAAAGGGGTACTGTTCCAGTACCGCACAATTGGGATTATTACCCGAATCGGCCAAACGGATGGTTCTTTTAGGTACACGAAGACAGAAGCGAACTCAACAAAATAAATAAACCGACTAACTCGATTTCACCAATATTATTTCTAGATTCACGGCACACAGTATGGTATCATACATTCGTTTGTACGACTGGCGGAAGTGGGGGAGGGTGCATAGTTTTATCTCGTCTATTATACATCATTATTATACCTGATTATATCAGTTTTTTTCAGCGGATGTTCCGTTCATTTAGTTTCATATCGGAATCGGATTATTAATTAAAACGGTTATCATAATTTTTTTTCAGTCTCTAGGTATATACGTCCTTTTATAATATATAAAAACACTTAAACTGTATTGTTTAAAACGAAACAAAAGCCGTACAGTTCTTATACATTTTATATTATAGGTATATAATTTGATTATGTATTGAAAGAAATCAAATCGTGTACAATGGATTTTGTACCTTTACCTGCCGCCGTTTTCCAATTAACAAATCTCTGAACCGATTGTAACAATACTGGAATAAAAAAAAATCGTCGATTAAATACTAGTATATTAAAAAAATTTAATTTTATAATTTGGCCTCAACACCTAATCAAACCCGAAGATTTTTTTTTTTCATTTTCAGTAATGTAATTTTTTTTTCGAGTGGGCTATGTAGTTCGGTGTGTAGAAAAATAAAAGTTTATTCATGCGAATATATACAGACGAATAATAGATATTATTTAAACATGATCAATATTCGCATAAAGTTTACGCTACTTGATTATTGAAAATTTTTATTGGAACATTTGTTTCTCGAAATTCACCCAAACAATATACGACTCTGGGTTAATTCGCCCAATTGAAAACCGCCCAGGTATATAGTTATTGATAATAATATGATTTAACCAGTTATAGTTATCCAAATTTTGAATTTATTCTATATAGGTACATTTATACAAGATTTATATTGCATGAATGATCGTTAATACATTTCAATAATATCTGTGATATGTACTGATAATATAACTGATATATGGAAATGGGCATGCAAAATTTAACCTCATTTAGCGACTTAATTAGATAAGTGGACACTTTTATTTGTAGACGATATAATATTATAGACGTATTTTAAATAAAAAAAGCAATTAAACTATTCAACATCAATATTTTAACAAGTTAAATGTACCTATGATATTAACTATTTCACACTATTTTCATTTAAACAACGGTATATTTTTGTTAATAATTTACATAGGTAGCATTATATTGTGAAAAATATCCTTAATAAACTGTGTAAATAGTTCTTTTTTTGATTTTCCCAGAAGTTTTCATAATAAATTGGAAAAAATCGGGAAAACGGCAAAATGTACGAAATATTTTACTTTAAAAATAAAAATTTTATGGCGTTTCAACACATACATATAATCGAACTCCACTCAAAATAATTTTTCCTTAGCAATAATTAATCTTTGCATACATAATATATTGCATAACATTCCTCTCTACCTTCTCAACTTCTCAGTGCGAAGTATATATGTATGATTTTTTTATAATATACTCCTGAATAGTGGGTAATATGCTTATTGTTTTTACAAATATTTAAAAACGTAAATCCTATCAGGTTCCTATTAAATACCTAAACAAAACTATTACGACCTTGATTTATGTTAATAAGAAATTTAAAGCAATTGAACATGTCATAAAAATTATTGTTTTTACTCTTAAAAAAAAAAAAAAAATGTTTTGTGTGCGTGTTTTTATGACAAATTATTGATCTCCCCCAATAGTACATTATTTACGACACTAGTACTCATTTATTATTATATTAATCATTATAGTTTGAGAAAAGTTTTGAATAATTTATATTGTAATTATTTAATTTTTTTTTCCATTTTAATCAACACAATAAAACAATCGGGTTGTTTAGCCGGGTTAAATGTTACATATTCTATAGACATTCTAAAAATTGTACTATTTTAATTTGAAAAAATCTAGTTTAGTTTCCCTCAAATCTTTTTCATTTTTTTATATTTTTTTAAGTTGAATTTTTCAACGCTATCTCTGAAAAGGTTGGATTTTTTACGAAAATGTTTAATCTGCTTATTCAATCATTATAAAGAAAATGTTATAGTGATTATATCAGTTCAACTACCGTTTAACATGAAATAACAACGCTGACGCAGAATAAGTAAAACTAGATTTTAGAATACAAATACTTTTTATTATATAATTGTATAAAAAACAATAATTTGCAGGGAATGTCATATAGATACGAAACCCTTTTTTTTGTTTTTTAATAACTATAATTTTTTAATAGTTTATAATTAATAAAAAAAAAAAACTATGACATTCCTTTCAAAATAATGTTCTTTATACATTTCATAATAGGTACTTTTACTCTAAAATTAGACTCGTTTTACTTATTTTACGTAAGCCTTATTTTTACATGTTTACGCGGCAGTTAGACTGAGACATATGTGGGTATAATGTCCTCTATAAGTATTTTTAAATATTTGTTCAAAATGTTTTAATAGAGCCTGTTATATATATATATATTAAAAAACACAATATAACTTAATATTTTTAATTTTTTTAATATATTTTGAGAGGGATGGAATGAGAAGGGAGTTTAGAGTGGAATCGTTTGTAAAAGGCTACTGCTTCTTCATGGATTGATTTCATTTTTAGATCGGTATGTAAAGTTAGATTTGAGATGTAAGGGGGAGAATTAGTAATTAAGCGANTTAGTATTTAATGGAGTGTGTTTGTTGTTAGAGATTAGGGTTTTAAGGATGCGGAGTCGTGCATTTAAGACAAGCCTTTTAGTTTTTATGTGATGTGACCAAGTGAGACGACGATCACTCTCACTATTCCTGGGAATTCTCCCAGAAGGCTCAAAAGGAAATGGTGTCGAGACCTCCTCACTGTTTGATAAAATTAAGCAATATAATAAGGAAAAAAAACCATCAAGTTAGGGTAGTGTTACCACTCCTCTCTTCATTTCATCATGTTTTTTATTTATTCATTTATCACATATTCTTATTGTTCCTAGGAACAGATTGTATATTATTCGTATATAAAATAAAAATAAAAAAATATATTTTAACTCTCGTATCACGTCTAGTTTCGCGGAGCACAGTTATCATATTATTATTATTGACTATTAGAGCGATAATCTTATTGATACTATTAAGATATTGTTGTATAAAATTTCTTATTGGTTTTTTTTTTCTGTATGTACGCGTTCGTTTAATTATTATTAATCAGACTATTAACTGAAATGATTATTAGTATTATTTTTTTTCATCTTTGTATACGACGCTCGATATAACACCACAAAAAACACGAAGAACCGCGAATTAACATAATTCTATTTTCATTTATACACCCATACAAACCCTATCGTTCATTTTCTAACTGCTGGTGCAAACATGATGTCATGTGAACATCTAACATTACATAACGTGACAAAATAAAATTTTTCAAAAATCTCACGCACCACTCACTACCACTCTATAAATCGAAAAATTGATGATTTTATTTTTTTTTTCCGTATCCTTTATTAATAAACTACACAACGTTGGGAAAATATAAAGGGAAATTTTATATATATATGTACTCAACTATCGAAAATTGCTTACAAAAAACGATTCCGAGACGAGCTCGGTTAGTAGTATTGTATTTTCAACAATTTATATGGCATATTATAGTAAAAAAAATATTTATTGAAAAAATTTGTATGGACCAATAACTATAGATAAGTTCCACATAATTTATGGTTAAAACGATTTTCTTCAAAATTAAATTTTATATTAAATTACCGATAGAGTTATAACTATTATTATAAAAAGTCTAAGTCATCATGTACTTTTTGTACAATTTATTTTATAGAGTTAATAAAGTTGAAAAATAAAATAGATTTCACCGAATAATTAACATATTGTTGCAATTTGATTCAGAAAAATACCTAATCGTAATATTTATATATTGGAAACTAAATTAACTTAATCTTTAATTATCTTTATATGGTGTATATGAGTATTGATATACATCTCGTTCAATAATTTAACCGAATTCAGTAAATCAACACGACATGCTTAATACATACATGTGGTTTCACCTCAGAATGAAAAAATAAATGTGTAATTCGTGTATTAAATTTAATTAAGTAATAATGTTAACATTTCTGGGAGAGTACGAGCGTTGTGAGCAAATTATTTTTTTAACTGACAGTTATTGAATTTTACTTCTTTTTTTTTTTGTTGTTAATAGGTCTATTAAAAATGTTTTCTCGGGGACCCAACCATGAGCCAGACCGACACTGAGAGTTAGAATACAACGGAATGACTTGATTGCGAAATTATAGCTTCTTGAAGTCTGATATTATGTATTTTGTTAAATAACTTGACAATTTTGATAATTCTGTTATCACAAAGTTATTTCCTTTTCAAATTTTACTAATTTTACTAGTTAATTTATTTTATTTTATTCTGTTTATTTATATCTATGTAGACACTGAATCGTACTTATTGTGGTTGTATGACACTAACAAAAACTATATGCATTTCATTTAAACGAACAACAAAATATAATGCGTACTTATGTGTTCAATTTTTTATCTTATTTACATTCTTTTATTGAGAAGCGAACGCATCTTTCAATAAAAATATTATAGCTAAACAATACAACGTAATATAGATTAGATAAATGAAACTGTGCGTTGTTAAAATATTGACATTTTTGTTGTCTACACGCCTAATCATATAATATAGTACACTCGAAAAATAAATTAAATTGGAGAAAAAAACACCTTTCGATTTTATAATCGAGAACATTAGCACCCGGAGATGAAAATTCAAGGAGAGATAGCCTTCATTTTTATTGATAATTAAATACTTTGTGATTCGTGTATTACCTATGTGTATTTTCAAAAAAAAAAAATATTAAAAATATTTTTATATTTTAATAAGTGTAAAATATTAAATTGTACACTTCTCAAAGCAGGTGGTCCGTTTAAGTGGGTAAACTCATTATTTTGGAAAGCGTTAACTTTTTCCGGAATTTGTTTT